CGGCTGGCTGCCTCCTCCTTCTCTGCTCTGGGGGAGTTGTGTGCCTGGAGGTGTGTGTGCATGGTGTGGAGTGCATGTCTGTCAGTGCACACCCTGACCCATAGTCTCCCGGTGCAGGGAGAGAGCTACATTTGCCTGAGAACTTGATGCAAAGTGCTCTTGGGGACAGGTGTTCTGTTGGCTGCAGGTCCTGCCCCATCAGCCGGGAGCTGTTTCTGAATTTCTCCCAACTCAGCCATGGTGGCTGTGCCCACGGTTCCCGAGGTGGAATCCAAGTCCAGGGAGGCCCAGAGTGGTTTCTTTGGAAGCATCCCTCTCTGGCTCCTGGGTGCTCACGCGTCTCACGTGGCCCGGCTCTGTGTCCTCCCCTCTGCTTCTTGTAAGGACGCTGGCGCTTGTGGTGGCGAGGGCAAGGATCCATCCTCCTTGCCTTGGTTTAGGTTCCTCCCTGCTTTAAAGGCCCTATCCCCCTCACAGGCACTGTCCGAGGACAGGGGGGTTAGGAACTGCATGTGTGACATTTTAGGAGGTGTTATGGACCAGTCCAAAACAGGAGGTAAGCTGAAATTCGGGCTCACATGTTTAATGGTGAAACAGAGGCGGCAAGCCAGCAGCACGGGGCTCAACACACCACAGGGGTGCACAAGCCTGCCATCCCCCCAAATAAAACAGGGTGCAATGCCCAATGCCTGGCTCTGGTGGGACTCCAGCTGGGATGTATCCAGTCAACTTAACTGGCAGGTGAAGTGCACAACTCTGCCAGGCCCAATGGGTTCCATTTCTGAGACCTGCAAGCTATGGTCTATCAGAGACACGCTAAGAGCTTTGAAGGTTAGAAAAGGAGGAGGGGGCTAGGGCACCCCTCAGCTGCGGCCGCTCAGGCAAGCTGTCTGGTCCCTCCTCAGGGGAGTGGGTTGTTTCCAGCTCTACCCAGCCAAAAGGAGCCCTGCATCACGGGCGGTCTCCCTCCCACCTTCTGCAGGAAAGGTTGTGTGTGCATGTGTGTGTGTGTGTGTGTGGTCACTGCCTCCACTGTGCTTTGCAGGGAGGAGGTGCCTGGCACCTGGTTTCAATGCTCTCGTGCAGGCATTTGAGGCAAGCAAGACTCTGAGCTGCTCTGTCGAGCATGGGAGTGGCCTGCTTTGTGCTTTCCTGGACCATGGGTTCAGCATCAGGTGAAGATGCTACTTGGGACCTGCAGCCCATATTGCAGCTTGACTCCCAGCCCCACTCTGCTTTCAGACTTTCTGCTAATGGGTAACTGGGGAGGCGATAAATGACAGCACAAGGCCTTGGGCCCCTGCCACCCAGAGGGAGTGCCCGGCTCCTGGCTTGGGTCTGGCTGCACCCCAGCTGTTGCGGGCATTCGGGATGATCTTTGTCATTGTCTGTGTCTCTCTCCCCCTTTGTCCTCTAAGTCAATACAAAAAGAAATTAATTTATTAAATAATTAAAAATACTCATCATTCAGGTTCAGAAGGGCACCAGGCACACAGCAGATGGTCCAAAAAGGAGTTTCGACTTTGTTTGTGGACCTGAGCTATGTGGGGTCCAGGAGCCACAAGAGCCTCTGCCACGAGGCTGTGCACAACAGCCATGGCTGCAGAGAAAGGGGGCTGAGGGCAGGCCCTGTCCATAGTGTCCATAGGGCCTTAGGAGTCCAGGCACATGGCTGGGGCCCAAGTCCTGGATGGTTCAGGGAGCTAACAGAATGACCCAGGACACCTGCACACTCCTCCTGGATCAGGGCAGGGGTGGTGGCTGCTTTAGCCATGGTGGCTGCCTCCCTGATCCTCTCTCTCAGTCCCAACCCCCTTGTGAATCCTGTAACCAGCCACTTCCACAGTCCTTGGCCAGAGCTGCCCAGGGCCTGTCCCTACTCTCAGCCCAGCTGGCACCTCACTTCCCAGCTGGGGAAGCCTAGGCACAGGCAGGCGGGGTCCCACTGGTGGGGCTGGGATCCCCTGGGGCCGTGGGCCCAGCCTGGGCAGAGGGAAGAGCAAAGAGGCTGCAGCTTGCTTTGCCCGCTCTGGTAGCCTGGCTCCAGGCAGGGACAGGTGCTGGGTGAGCCTGGCCAGAGCAAGGGACCAGTCTCCTTTGTGGTGGCCCTCATGCTTGGCCCCTAGCCCCAGTCCCAGTGGGCTGAACCTCCACTTCCTGAGCCAGCGGCCAGGCTGGGTCAGGCTGCCGAAACCCTTCCTAAAAAGGCATCAGGCCGTGGTGACCTGGGCTATTTTTAGACAATTGTGTTGAAAAATTCCCAAGTCCACGGAGCATCAAGTGGGTGTTTTTCTTCAGGAAGAGGAAGGAGAGGGAGTAGGTGGCCTCCTTGTACCCAAGGGTCACGCCCCGAGGAGGGGCCCATCACCTCCTGTTCCTGTAGGGGGCAGGAGCATGGGTCCCAGGATTTATGGGTTGGGAGCTTCTGACTGTAAGACTTTCTCCCCAGCCTGGAGCTATTGTGGGGGTGAGAGGCACTTGGGGTATCACCCCACATTCCAGGTGGCAAGACTGAGGCCTGGTTGTCCTTGTCCCCATCTGGGACCACATAGCCAAGGCTGCATGTGTGATGTGTGTGGTCTGCTGAGTTCTGATACAGGTGTACACCCATAGTGGTCTTGGGACAGCTGTGGGATCACCCCCAGTTTCCTTGTCACTTTTGCAACCCCTCTCTCCTGCCCAGCCCAGGTGGCCCCCCACCTGCCTATTGTGTGAGGTCCCACTACGTATCCCCTTGCCCGGCTCGGTCTCTGAGACTGAGACACTCCAAGGTGGCACACCTGTCCATTGTTGCCCCCGCATTGGGCCCTTTGTTCAGTGCCAGGGAGCCAGTGGCAGAATCAAAGCTGGGCAGCAACAGCCCACATTTATCAGCAGCTGAAGCCGCGGGCAGCAGAGCCCAGCTCTAGCACCTTCTTCTCAAACTGCTAGCCTTGGGGGTTCACGGAAGTGGGGACATGGGAATGAGGTGGAGAGATGTGCTAATTAAAAGGAGGGAGATCTGTGGACTTCCTAGACTGCTCAATTCGCTGAATCCGGGATCCACCTTCCTTTTTGTGCTTTTCTGGTCGCTCCTCCGGTTGTCATGATGGCTGTCAACTGTCATGGCACCTGTAAAATTGAGTTTTAGCATGGAAATGAGATTATAATGAAATTTGAGGTCATGTTGCCAGCCATCTTGGATCTCCCTGATTCAAACCAGTTGGCCTGGGAGAGGCCTCTGTCTAAACTGTCCAGTTCTTAAAGAGAAACCGTGTTGGGGAGAGGGCGGGGAGATACTTCACCTGCTGTGCTGGCTTAGAGGAAACCATCATAACTTTTTTTTTTAAAGATTTATTTTTATTATTTTTTTATTGGAAAGGCGGATATACAGAGAGGAGAGACAGAGAGGAAGATCTTCCGTCCGATGATTCACTCCCCAAGTGAGCGCAACGGGCCGATACTATGCCGATCCGAAGCCAGGAGCCTCTTCCGGGTCTCCCACGCGGGTGCAGGGTCCCAAAGCTTTGGGCCGTCCTCGACTGCTTTCCCAGGCCACAGGCAGGGAGCTGGAAGGGAAGCGGGGCTGCCGGGATTAGAACCGGCGCCCATATGGGATCCCGGGCGTGCTAGGCGAGGACTTAACCACTTGCGCCACCGCGCCGGGCCCAACCATCATAACTTTTTAAAGCTTTCCAAGATGTTCTCCAAAAGTGGCTATACTGCTTCACATCGTTACCAGCAATGCACCAGGATGCGGACCACTAAGTCCTGCCCACCCACCTGTGTGTAAGCTCAGCCTTGCTGTAACTTGGCATCCGTGATAGCCCTGGTCTGATACTGTCATTCCTCACATGTGGCTTAGCCTGGGAGACTGGCTGGGCAGGCGCCACCATCCCATCTACCCCTGAAGCCCACAGCACTCCAGGGTCTTGGCCAGGACCCCCTGGAAGGTGCACAGCGGAGGGGGATCACCCGGGACACAGGCTTGAGAAGCGGACATCCAGCCCCCGGGAGACCTCAGCAGGGGTTTGAGGCCCATCTGAGCTCAGAGGCCTCTCAGAGGGGTCATAGGACTCTGGTGGCCATGGTTGTACCCCTGTAACCATCCGTGAGTCACGTGGGTGCAGAGTCAGGCAGGGTTGGCCTCCCAGGGGGAGGCAGGAGGCTGTGGAGGGGACAGGTGTCAGGCACAGGCTGGTGAGAATGGGATTTCAGCTGCAAGGGGTGGAGCTGCAGTTCTGTGGGGGCCATCAGCCTCTTGTCTGCCTGGTTCTGATGGCACGGTCAGGCCCAGGATGCCATGATCAGTTCTTTGAGGCTTTAGGATGCCTGAGACCAGAGTTTAGACCCTTCCCACAATTCCTTGCGTACCCCCATGGTAGAGCCACCTTGCAGCGCTCAGTCGACAGCTCTGGGATTATAGAAGCCTGCTGTTTCTCTGGGGCTCCTGGTCTTGCTGGCCACTGTGTTGGGCTCCGTCCCTGCCTCCCACACTCTGTCTCTCCTCATCGTGGCTACAGGAGGGCTAAGCGGGGAGCAGTGCAACCTTGCAGCTTGCATTCTGATTGGGCCAAGTGAGGTGCCTTGCTCGTCCTTGATCCACTGAGTCTGTGAATGCAGGATGCTGATGGGCCAAGCTCGAGTCGGGTGCTCCAACCTCAACCACCACCCCCCAATCCAGACAGTACAGGGGAAGTGTGGGAAAAGTGCACTCCCAAACCCAAGCCAGGGATTGTGGTGACCTAAGAGCAGGCCTTGATGCTGAGGATGCAGGAAATATGAAGATGAGGAAAGAGAAGTTTGGGTGAAAGAAGCTGAGAGTCCACCCCCGGAGCTCTGGAGTCAAGACCAAGTTCAGGGCTTGCTCTGTAACTGCTTTGCTGGGATCCTCCCGGGCTAGGGTCCCCCTCACACCCAGGCCAGGGCAGCTCTGTCCCCCGGGAATTAAGCCAGGCCGTTCTTTAGGTCTGTGAGCTTTGTAAGAATGACACAGGCCATGGAGAGGGGGAGAGGTTCCATTTAAAAATCATTTTTATTATTAACATCATCTTCCCGTTTATAGCCAAGTGTCTGTCACGTATAAGGAATGTCGGTAAATATTCCATTTGCAGCTTCTTTGTACATATTTCCATCGATAAATAAACTCTGGATTCACATAAAAAAGTTAAACTTAAATAACTCATATTTCCTTCTCTTGTCACGGGCATATATTGGTAAAATATAAATATTCTTGGTTTCGGGGCTTGGTTGTGGGTGAGGCAGTAATTCGCCACGTGGTTTAACGATGGACAATGAGACCAGGAGGTTGTTGGCTGGTGTCCCGGCAAGGACGAGCGCTGAGGTGGGAGGCAAGATTCACATTTGGTTTTCTGGGGGCCACGCTAGGGCAGGAGCGGTGGGAGGGGAGGGAAGGGGAGAGCTCTGAGAAAAATAAGCTATTCTGCCACTGCCTTCTCATTTGGAATAAAGTCTCCTATGTGTGCTGAATAATTCCATGATTTTTTTTTTTTACTGAAAACTTCATGTTAACTAACAAAATATGGCACGTCATCCATTGAGCACGTTGTCAACAGGTTCAGGAACTATCCCTGGGATGGCAAAGACCGGGGAGGTGTGTGTGTGAGTGGAGGGGGACGCAGAGGTGAGGCGGTGATGCAGGGTGGTTTTGTTCCTTTCCTGCGGGCCCTGGGACATCCATCAGGGCCTCAGGGTGGCTGACGGACCCTCGGGTCAGCAGGATTGTCCTGGAGGCCCCGCCCCCTGCTGCAGAGTGGGGGGCCTCCGGGGACGGGGCCTCCAGGCACCCCTAGCTGCCCCAGCAGCAGCAGTAGGTGAGGCTGGCGGGGCCTGGCTCAGAGCACCCGGGGGATGATGGTGAAGGGCACGGCAGGGCTGCTGGCCTCCAGCTCCAGGGCGGTGAGGAAGCACTCGGTGGCGGCTGCGTCGTTGCCCTGAGCTTGGAGGACCTCGCCCAGCCCGTTCCACACCTCATGGGCAGTGGAGTTGACCTGCACGGCGTCTCTGAGGATCTTCTCAGCCAGACTGTAGCGGCCCAGCTGGTGCAGGATCAGGGCCTGTAGACAGAGACAGGCAGATTTAGGGATTCAGGGGTAGCCCGGGCTCCCAGCCAGTGCTTAGCACCATGGGAAATGACAAAGATGGCAACCTCACCTTGTGTTACAGCCCAGCCTCCGACGGAGTACCAGGGAGTTCCCGTGGTTCTCCTATTCTCCCTGCTTCTTATTGTTGCTAAAGTCCCAAGTGCAGAATGTTTCTGCCTGTTGAAACCAAGCTTTCTTTCATAGTATTTCAGTTTACATATTCCCCAATGCTTCTGAGTAGGAAGCACTTACAACATTAACACTTAACCTATTACTATAATTTTCTAGCCTGCTCATTAAACTTTTGAGATTTTTAAAATTTATTTTTTATTTTGAAAAATAGATTTGTTGATCTCTGGTAGTGTTTTTTAGGTTACTTCAAAGCTTAGAGTTACCCCTTTAGAAAAGACACATGTCCCATTCCACTCATTGTAATTGTCCTTGTTTGAAGTATTGCCATGAGTCATGCAGCCACCTCTTAGTACCACTCACACTTCCTACTTGGTGCCTTTTCCAAGACTGCGATGGAAAGCCTGGCGTGGTAGCCTAGTGGCTAAAGTCCTTGCCTTGCATGCAACGGGATCCCATATGGGCACCGGTTCATGTTCTGACTGCTCCAGCTCTCTTCCAGCTCCCTGCTTGTGGCCTGGGAAAGCAGTCGAGAATGGTCTAAAGCCTTGGGACCCTGCACTTGCATGGGAGCCCCAGAAGAGGCTCTGGGCTCCTGGCTTTGGATTGACTCAGCTCTTGCTATTGCAGCCAGTTGGGGAATGGACCAGAGGACAGAAGATCTTTCTCTCTATATTTCCTTCTCTCTGTAAATCTGACTTTCCAATAAAAATAAATCTTTAAAAAAAGATTGCGATGGAACAGGAGGGCAGAGCTGAAGAGGTGAGAGAGAAAGAAACTGCAGGACAATGAAAAACAGAAAAACACCTCAAGAAAATTCACAGCGTGGAGTCTGGGGCAAGCTCCTTAGGTAGTCTGTCTCCTGCAGGCCACCTGTATCCATGAGTGCAGGGCCATCCGGGAGGAGCTGTGGTCAGCAGTGACAGCTGAGGAGGCCTGTGGCCCCAGGTGGCATGTAAGCCCACTGGGATTGAGGGAAAAAGCAGGTGGGGTTCCCCTCGGCTTCCTGAGATGGCTCCTTCCCAGGGCTGGCAAGGAGGGGGTCCCAGGGCTCCCCCATTGTAAACAAGGCCTCCCCAGCTTTGTTCCCCCATCCCTAACTGGGTGCAACAGAAGGCAGACCTTGGATTCGGCTTCCTGACAGGATGAGACCCTAAAATGCCACAGCTGCTGACTCCTGGCTTACCATGGTCCCACTGCGCTGACTGTGCCACAGCGGGAGGGCGAAACACAAGCAGGGCTGGTGCTGGGGTGCAGTGGGCACCTCAGAGTCTTGGTTGCTCTGTTTCTAGTCCAGCTCCCTGCTGCTGTGCCTGGGAAGGCAGCAGAGGATGGCTCAAGTGCCTGGCCCCTGCCATCCACGGGAGACCAGGATGGAGTTCTTGGCTCCTGGCTTCAGCCTTATCCAGCTCTGACTATTGTGGCCATATGAGGAAGTGAAGCAATGGATAGGGCATTGCTTCACGTCTCTCTGTCATTCTGCCTTTCAAATACAAAAATAAATCTTTCAAAAAAAAAATGTGAAATGGTGCAGTTGAACTCATAATTTGAAATGGGCCTTGGGATTTTCTTTCAAATTTCGAGCTGTGGTTTCTTCACCCCTTCCCCCAATGCTGTGTTTGGATCTTCCTGGGGGCTGACACTGGGCAGCTCGATGTGATGTGGGGGCATCAAGTACAGCTTCCGGTCACAGGGCACAGCCCCGGTGCTCTTGAGCACACTGTGTGGCTGCCCTAGGATCTACCTGACTTCTGGTATTTTCCATTCACTTTGGGTTTCTCAGGAAGTAACTGCTGGGGGTCGAGGAGAGAATGCTCCCAGGGTCTGTGACACGCCAGCTACTCATGCAAGTGCCTGTGGGTGTCTGTGTGCTTAATGCAAGAGCCAGGCCAGGACACATGCTGGTGGCAAGGCCTGCTGTTTGTAGTTCATCAGAGGCCCTGCTGTGGTATAGCTATATGTGGGGAGAGGGCCCTGGCATTGGGTACTCTTACCCCTGCCCTCAGCAGCCAAGGCACCCATGGGTCCCCTGGCCCACCTTGGACCCCAGGAGTGCCACTGGCGATCCTCTGGGTGGGCAGTGCATATCCCACCTGGGACGCCTTGGGAGGATTTTTAAAAAATTCTTTTTCATTTTATTTGCGAAGAATATGAAGAAAGAGGTAGAGATACCTTCCCACCCACTGGTTCACTCTGCAGATGCCTGCAACGTCCAGGGCTGGGCCAGGATGAAGCCAGTGACCCAGAACTCCATCCAGGGGCCCCCTGGGGGCGGCAGGGGCTCAGTACTGGGCCCATCAGCTGCTGCCTGTCAGGGTGCTCAGCAGCAGGGAGCCGAGTGTGAAGCAGAGGAGCTGTGGCTCAGACTCCAGTCTGGGCTGTGAGAGGCGGGCATTTCCACGCCTGAAGCTGCGTCAGGTGCAGCCCCCTGCCTCCCCTCCCAGCCCCCAGGGGCAGAGCAGACAGAAGGCCATTTCCAGGCTGTACTTAGTAGGCTGTCAGGCTCTGTGGGCTCCTGCACCTCCTTTCCGGGGAAGGTACCAGCCAGAGCTCACCTCTTCACCCCAGAACATTCTAAGGTAACTGACAGAAATGCAAGGGCAGGGAGGGGTCTTTGTTTGGTGGGGTTAGGACAGGGAGGAGCCTACCCTCCTTCCTGGCAGAACTCCCTGGGGCCATCAGGGTGGTAAATCTAGGCTTCAGATGGGTTCCACCAGGGACGCGTACCTTGTGTCCTTTTGCTGGGTTCTGCTGGTGCCCACTCAGCCCTGTGCTACTTTCTTTCTCCCCAGCAGGCACTCTGCTAAGCATTTGGCTCAACTCATCTATCACCACTGCCCTAGACATGAGGAGACACACCCAGAGAGGCCTAGTTCTTGCCCAAGGTCACAGGGTCAGTGAACACTGAGTTGTAGGCCAGCCAGTGGCCGGTCTGATGCCAGACACCTGTTCTCCAGCCAGGTACCTCTGCCACTTTAAGAGGCAGCCCGTGGGCCATGGAGGAGAGCTGTGTGTGGCTTGCGGCTGGTGGCTTGAGCCCAGGGGGCACTCATGCAGTAACCTAGTTACAGCTGAGCTATGGCGCATGGGCATCTGCTGCTTTGGCCGCGCCTTCCTGTCTCTGACTGCGGACTGCCGACCTGATGGCTCCTTGCCATGCTGTGCTGGGGAAACTGCCCCTCTCCATGGCACAGTGCTCCCTGGCTCATGTCCTCCATTTGGGAACATTCCACAAGCACATTCATGGAGGTCTGCTCCACCCTGCTGGAGTCAGGCAGACCTCACAGCCCTTTTGCTGGGAGTTCCGTGGGGCTGCTGAATCTGGGAACGACCAGCTGTGGGGTACCTGCCCCTGAGAGCCTTGTAGATAATCAGACTGATGAGCCTGCCTGACCTGTCACCCTCTAGTTGGGCAGCTAAACTAGTGCTCTACGGTTCTTGGGGCTTGCAAGGGTCCAGCTCACATACCAGGATGTGTATTCCAGGCTGCTGTGCCCAGATGACCTTGAAGTTTCTGGAGCAATCTGTTTGGTAGAATTAATTTCCAACACTGGAGCTTCTTTTGGGGTGGCTGGCTTCCCAGATGTGCCAGAGGCTGCCAGTGTATGCTTGGCATGAGAAGGAAAAACAGGTCTCTCCCCAGGGAGCCTGGAGCTGCTCAGAGATGGGAGCTGGCTCACATGATGGGGGCTGAGCTGCTGTCTGCAGCCGGCATTGCAAGGAGGTTGGTTGGAGGTGGGTTGGATGCTTTGGGGTGATGGCATCACAGCCCCACCATGCTGGTCGGGCACCTGCCCTTCTTTCCTTCCTGTGAGCTCTTCTGCACACAGCTCTGGAGTGCTTTCCCCAATGCGACAGGCCCTGCCTTCCCTCTTCTCCAAAGACCACTCCTGAGGCTGGTGGCTGGCTGTTCTGTTGGCCAGCCAGGCCCAACCTCCCACTGTCCAGCAGGTGCGCTGCTGCAGAGTTCAGCCCTCAGTGCCCCTCGATCTCCAAGTGGGCTTGGCTCTTCCTGCTAGAGCGCCAGTCCAACTGCACAAAGCCCCAACCTCCCAGACCCTCCAGGCCACACTGCAATTCCTGCAGCCCCATTCAGAAGCCCAAAGCTCCCAGACTGGCGGGAGACAGGAACTCCGGGAACTGGCATGCTCTGTGACCATATCGCCTCTGTCTCACATCAACAAAAAGCCACAGAGTGAGGATGCTGTGGCATAGTGGGTAGGAAGCAGGTCTGCTCCCAAAGGGCTCAGCACCCAGTGAAAATCACCAAGGACACAGCTCAGTTTGGGGTGCATCAGCTGCTGGACTATGCAGGCACGAGCCGAGGCTGCCACACCCACTGCCACGAGCAGCTGCTGTTGGGCTCTGTTTCACAGACAAGACCTGTCTGAGGGGGAGTGGCAGAGCTGAGACCTGAACCCGTGCCATATGTGCCCTCATGCCAGGACCTCTCTCCTCTCCAGAGAAACAGCCCTCACCCCTTTCCCAGCCCTGGCCGCTGTGGATGGAGCTGGCTGGGGCTGGCCTGCAGTGAGAGCAGGGCGTTGGTGAGGTAATCCACCAGCCGGCTCATCAGGCACAAATGATCAGGCTTTCCAAGCTCGTAATTATTATAATCAGGTGTTTTGTGCAAACAAGACCTTGGTAAAGCACCAAAGTGGAAATAAGGGCTTAGATTAAATCCATGATTTCAGTTGAGACAAAATGGACCTGGCTAGTTGGAAAGCAGACAACACCTTCCTCACCGCCCTGCTTTGCTGTGGTAATTACTGTCAGTGGACGGAACAGCTTGCAGCAGGCTGAGAGTGCGTGTGGGGGGCGGGGGTGGGGGACCTGTGAAGGCT